TGCTGCGGCCAGAGGGTGATAACTCCCAGCAAGTAGGAGGCTGTCTCAGGGCCTCCATTTCCTCATCAGTAACATGACACGCACAAGTCCCACGTAGGAGATGGGGAGCTCAGATGAGGCAATACCCGTAAGTGCCCTCCTGCCACTGGCAGGCCTGTGAACAGGAGGGGTGAGGAGGTCGGCAGTGCAGACGGGCACGGTGGCCTCGGCCAGGGACAAAAGGACTTACACCGGCCCGCTCCGTCTGACACCCCCACCCCAGCCCGCTTCCCGTCCCACCCTGAACGGAGAAGCCATGCTGCCTCCGCCCGGAGCACTGCGTCGCGCCCTGGCGCCTGTCACTCCTCCTGTGCACAGGAGGAAATGTGAGGTGGCACCTGGAGATCAGGTGGGAAGGAAAGCTGTCAACACTGTGGGTGCAGGTGTTAGGAAGGAAAGGGGGACTCGTGTGGCTTGAAAAGGGGGCGGGGTAGGGACAACAATAAAGGCGCTGGCCCTGAATTGAAAAAGCAAGGCTCTCATTCCTGAGTCTGCCACCGAGAAACAGGGCCAATTACTGAACCCCTCTAAGAACCAGACGACTGATCTCTAAAATGGGGGCGCCGAGCCTGCTCCCCTCTCTTTGCAGGCTTACATAATCGTATCCCAGGGTCACCAACTCTAAGGCCCCACCAACTGAAAGAGGGCCCATCATCTCATGCATGGCAAGAAAGGCTGAAATAGAGAGAGAGGAGAGGAGAGGAGAGGAGAGGAGAGGAGAGGAGAGGAGAGGAGAAGGAAAATGCTACCAATTACACTCTATTGTTACTGAAGGAGCCCTACTGGCATAGTGGGTTACGTGTTGGACTGCTAACTGCAAGATTGACATGCTAATCTCCCAGCTGCTTCTTGGGAGAAAGATGAGCAGCAAAGCTCCTATAAAGATTTACAGCCTCAGCAACCCAAAGGGGCAGCTTCACTCTGTCCTCTGGGGTCACTGTGAGTAAGAACTGATTGGACGGCACTGAGCCTGGTTTGGGTATGTCATTATTGTAAGACTCAGGGGTAGAGATGGTGGAGTTGCTGTCTTCCAAGAGGTAAACTGGGGCTCGATTCCCAGCCAATGCACTTCACACACAGCCACCCACACACACACCCCCACACCCCCATCAATGAGGGCTTGGGTTTTGCTGCGATGTTAAAATAGGCTTCAGTGGAGCTCCCAGACTAGGAAGAAAGGCCTGGGAATCTACCTCCAAACATCAGTCGACGAAAATCGTATGGTTCACAATGGTCCAGCCAGCAACTGATCACAACGAAGACACAAGGCGGGGCCACCTTCTGCCCCACTGTGCATGGGCCACCGTGAGTTAAGAGTAGACTTACTGCAGCTGAAAGTGGAGATGCTGCAAGAGTGAGATGTTCACACATGAAAACTCCACATCTTGAACCTGATGTCATGCGGCCGAGTAAAGCTCAAAACGTAAATGGAGGAATCAATCTGACGATTATCTAGCCCTAAAAAGAAAAGAAGTACTGATGCATGCTATAACACAGATGAACCTTGAACACATCGCTCTACGTGAAAGAAGACAGACACCAAGAATGTCACATTGTTTGGTTCCGTTTATAGAAATGCCAGAACTGGCAAACCTGCCGAGACAGAAAGCAGATGAGCAGTCACCAGGAACTAGGTAGGGTGTGTGGGGTGGGGTGGGGAGATGAGAGTGACTGCTGATTGGGTAGGGGTTCTCTTTTGTGATGATGAGCATATGTTTGCACTAAACAGACCTAGTGGCTGCACAGTAGAGTGTACTTAAAAAAAGATAAATGCACTAGTTCTGACCTTAGGTACTGGCACCACTGCCAACTGCTCTGAAAGAAATCACATTAAAAGGTCCTGAAGAGAGTCCTCAGAGAACAATGTGGAAGGTAACTCAAAATTATAAGGAAGATAAGACCTGCTGGTCTAATAGAGACTAAGGCCCTTAGATACTTTTCGAGTCTAAAACCAAATGCACCAGAGGATCAACTTTCGCCAAATCATAGGCCTGTAGGGTGAACAATCACCCCAGAGAGGTATGCACACCTCGGATTCACCAACCATGCAACAAGAGCGGGCAGCTTTTGCCCAGGAATAAAGCTGACCAGGCACGAAGGGATGGGAAAGAAGGGCCCGTGGGAACAGTATACCGAGGGAGGAAGTGGGAGAGTGAAGCTACATCGCGGGGACTGCGATCGACCTCAATTCCACCTTACAAATCAGATTAGACCAGAGCATGCACACTGCTACAGATAAGAGCCCACAACACAGGGAGTCCAGGATAGATAAACCCCTCAGGGCCAATAAGCAGAGTAGAGATACAAGGAGGATTAGGGGAGGGTGTGGGGAGAAATGGGGAATTGATCACAAGGATCAACTTATAACCCCCTCCCAGGGGAACGAATAAAAAAGAAAAGTGGGTGAGGGGCGACGGTGGATGATGTAAGATATTAAAATAATAAGCTATAACTTATCGAGGGTTCATGAGGGAGGGCAGGCGGGGGAGGGAGGGAGAAGAAATGGGGAGCTGATATCAGGGGCTCAAGTGAGAGGAGAATGCTTTCAAAATGATGATGGCGGTATATGTGCAAATATGCTTGACACACTGGATGAAAGTATGGATTGTGATGAGATGTAAGAGCGCCCAATAAAAGTATTTACTAAAAAAAAGAAAACCCAATGTGTGCGAACTGTTGACTGAAAAACCAATGTGCTCTGTCAATTTTCACCCAAACACACTAAAAATTGTTCAATTAGCAAATTAATAATAATAAGTGGGCTGCACCAGGAATTTCAAACTACCTCTGACACATTCAGAACTCAGCATGACAGATGTCCCACAACCTTACCATATCACATACACACGGACATTACAGGCCGTTTCTTCTAGACAGAGCTTTAACATGTCTAAGTGGCTCGGATTCCCATGTAGACCTTCCCTAATGCGGTGCATTATTTCTTTTAGTGACATTCTAAAGTATCTCCATGAATGTAAGACAATGTATATAGTGTATGCACACATGAAGCCTCGTTTACAATACAATAGACAATTTTTCAATTAGGGGGAAAAAATTTCAGAAAATCCTTTTGGGCAAAACCAATCCTTTTGTGCAAAAGACCAAAACCAATCCTTTTGTGCAAAAGACCATTCGGAAAATCTTGGAAGGCAACAACCATCCAAAGCAAACTCCGTGCCCAGTGACCCTACTGGACAGGGTAGAAATACCCCTGTCAATTTCTGAGACTGTAACTCTTTATGGGAGTAGAAAGCTTCATCTTTCTCCCTCAGCAACAGGTAGACCAGTATTTCAACACAAAGAGGCAACTCTACTTATTTATCTATTCCTAGATTAAGGGGGAGGGGGGTTGCTGCTGCTTCCACGTATCTAATTATATACTTGAGGCCACTGTATCTGCACCCTTTTCTAGCTAATTAATCACAACTGGCAAGAAGGTTAAAAAGAGGAGTGCCGTGTTTACACGGCTGTTTCAGAAAGTCTGTGGGGAAATGTAATGTACAGATAATGGCACTTTGCCACAGACTTTTTGAAACCCGCTATATTCCATAAGATACGGTGGATCAAAGAGCCAGCATTCCCAAGCACTTACCCTCCTCAGACTTGACCTACCCCAAACCCCTCAGCTATTCCCTGAGGGATGAGGGGCCTGGGGTGGAGTGGACTGTTTTCCTTCTCCTTAAATGCCCCCTCTCTCATTGGTTAGTCGTAACCGCCAGCTACACATTTCTTCTCTCCTCACCTCCCATGCCAGTCTCTTCCTCCCGTCAGGTTTGAGCTATTTCTCTGAAGAGGCGGGTACATCTCCTACATGGGACGTGGAACCCTCTCTGAGCATGGACTGCTCTCCTGTTTGCAAAAGCCAAGACCCGCATGACACAGAGTCCACCAGCCTCTATCTATCTATCTATCTATCTATCTATCTATCTATCTATCTATCTATCTATCATTTATTAAAAAAAGAAGAAAACCCAATGTGTGTGAACTGTTGACTGAAAAACCAATGTGCTCCACCAACTTTCACCCAAACACACTAAAAACTGTTTAATTATCAAGTTAATAATAATAAGTGGGCTGCACCAGGAATTTCAAACTACCTCTGACACATTCAGAACTCAGCATGACAGATGTCCCACAACCTTACCATATCACATACACACGGACATTACAGGCCGTTTCTTCTAGACAGAGCTTTAACATGTCTAAGTGGCTCGGATTCCCATGTAGACCTTCCCTAATGCGGTGCATTATTTCTTTTAGTGACATTCTAAAATATCTCTGTGTCACACGGGTCCTTGGGCTACTCACTAGACTCATCACAGATGCCGCCACCAGCACGGAGCCATTCGTACCAAAAACCTGGTTCGTCAGATATCACACAAAGTGCCCTACGACCACGGGTAACTTCCCCAGACTCCGGGACAGCCCTAACGTAGTGTTGACTACATGGATTTTTTTAAATGCATCCAGAGGTTAACTGTGATCAAATCTTATGTCTTCTCACATTAATAAATCTAAAAATCACCCATAAAGAAATCTATGATCAGAACACAAGTCTCAACAATCAGTTCAGAACACCTGGCTGGCCTCTCCAAGCCCTCCCAAACTCTGCACTTGTTTGCCTCATTGGGCCATCTTTGGCAGCTGTCCCTCTGGCCAGGGACAGCTGCTCACTTCAGTAATAAGGCCACCTGGGAAATCCTGCCCTCCAGAGAGAGGCTTGAGTTCGGCACTGGCCACAAGCAGAAGCTACAGTAGCCAGACCTTGCGGAGTCCCAGGGCTTCTGCCCAAGGCCCCCTGCAGCTCCACAAAGCACCTCACCTGCCTCTGGGATGCAGACTCATGGGGACCTCATTCCTGAACCTCAGTCCCTGCTGGTCCTGTCTCTCTACCCTGCACCGGCAACCTGCTGATGCCACAGGCTCTTGCACATGGGAAGAAAGGGAGGGAGGGAACTCACCCACTGAGGACCACGATGAAGTCCATGACATTCCAGCCATTGCGAAGATAAGAGCCCTTGTGGAAGATGAACCCTAGGGCCACAATTTTGATCCCAGCTTCAAAGCAGAAGATCCCAATGAAATAAGGTTCTGTCTTCTCCTGTGGGGTCAGGGAGAAAAGGCATTAGTAAGGGCCAGGCTGGGCTTCACCAGACACAGGCACAAGCACACCCCAGCGACTTCCCCTGCCCAAGCCTCTCCTCGGTCCCACAGGAACCCCCGGACATCGGGGCCGGGAAGGGAGGACCCCAAGGATGAGGCCGGCAGGGACGCGTGACAAGCACAGGAGCATGGGAGACCCGGGTGAAGAGACCACAGGCTGGGGCCACACCAGGAAGGGCATGGATCACCCTGGATCTGCACTACAGGAGTCTGTTGTCTGTTTTCCACTGCCGCCTTCCCACAGTCGGAAGCTCACGTGCCCTCCTTCAGGGGTTTCCAGCGGCATTTAAGCCTCTCTTTGAGGTGACTGCATGAAGCATATGAGTCATCTTTTTAAGGAGAACTTAGTGGTCCATGTTGGGGAAGTTCCCGGCCAGGAAGGCATGCAGGCTTTGGCATCCCTTCCTCTGCTCGCCTCTCCTGACCACTTTCCCCCTCTCTACCTGGGGCTGGGGGAGGGAAACAAATGGACCCTTTGTTGGCCAGGCAGTGTTCGTCATGCCCTCAAAATGCCCTGGGGTCAGGGGGTTGAATGACACCCCCTTCACTCCCCTCATGAGCCCCGGTGGGGGTTGTCACGAACTTGACCCTCGGCACAGGACAAAGTCCTCACAGGACTGTGGGGTAAGGAGAGAGGGGATAGGGGTGGGGTGCACAGAGAAGGACAAGACAACCACGGGAGGCCAAGACAGGGTGAGAAAGTGAGGCGGCGGCGGCACATACCAGTCTGCGGGACATCGGGGTCTTGTCATCTTCTGGCAGGTGCTGCTCCAGGGCCAGCACGATGCAGTTGGCAATGATGGTGGCCAGGATCATGTACTCAAACGGCGTGCGGAAGCACGAGTTAAGGAGTGACTTCAAAGGGCCTGAGGCGCGGCCTCCAGACGGCCATGCCCACCCATCCGCCCACTGTGACCACCCTCACTGTGCCCAAGGAGTCTGCATAGCCCGTGGCAGCATAGGACTCCACCTGGACAACAGGGGGCTTTCCAAGGAAAGGAAGTACAAGTCAGTATGAAGTCAGGCGCACGGCAGACACTCCTCATCTCTTAGCGAATTCAGGGACCTGCCTGGGAATGATCCAGGGCTGAACAGGGTGGCACGTGGCAGCTTATCCATGGGCTGCTAACCACAAAGTCAGCAGTTTGAAACCACTAGTTGCTCTGTGGGAGAATGAGGCTTTCTTCTCCTGCAGAGAGTGACAGTCTCAGAAACCCACAGGGCCGCCATGCGTCAGAACGGACTTGATGGCAATGAGTTTGGGGTGTTTGAGAGTTTTGAAAGCAGGGGCTGGGATGGAAGGGAGGGGAACAGGGTCAGTGCTGCGTCAGACCCCCCAGTCCGCCCCAGTCTTCGAGGCACTGGCCTGCAAAAAGAGGCATGCGCAGGGACCTAGCTTTTGCAGTCCCCTCCTCCCAAGCCTCTGGTCAAGCAGTAGAGAAGAACAGGAGACCGGTGCAGCTAGGCCCCCTTGACTTCAGTAGCTCACCCCCAAGAGCAGAGGGTGAGGCCAGGAGGAGCTAGGGGCTCCCTTCCCGCTCCCCTTGGGCAGTGAGAGGAAGCAAGTCCAGGCATCTAGAGGCGCTCTATAGACACGTGGAACACAAAGCCAGCCTTTATTGTTACATTTTTCTGAAGGCAGGTGAGGGGGCTCCTGGCACCTTTCAGAAGAGCAGGGCTATGACTCAAGCATCAGCCTCCTGACTCTGACAGAAAGGTTTTGCCAAAAACTCAGCGGGAGGGGAAGGGGGTTTCTTAGGAGGGAGGGAGATGGAACCACCAGCTCCCAGAGTGGAGTCGCTCTGCACGTTTGATTTCCTCCTGTAACTACTGTTATGACAAACACCAGCAAGCGGCTGCCATTGGCCTTGCTGCTCAGCCTGTGCTCTGAGAGCTTCCGAACTCCAGGCAGGCGAGGAGAGGTGTACTGCTGGCAGTGTGTGTGTGTGTGTGTGGTGGGTGGTGGGTGGGGGGGGGTTGGGGAGAGGGCATTCCCAGGCTGGCTGTGAAGGAGGTGGGACCCACAGAAGGGGAGCCCCATGAGGCCCGTCCCAACCATGGTATTTGCATCAAGGTTGCACGACTTCCGACATCGGGGCAGCCGTGACAGAGTGGTCAGGGGGCAGTGCTCAGGCAGAGGCTGTGAGCACACTCAGACACGAGCTCTGGTCCAGGTGGCAGGGTGGACACTGCACGGCCCGAGACAGCCAGCTGCATCAGAGCCTCCGGTCCTCCGTATTCTCGCTGGGATCCACCAGTGCCACCGCCCCCCCCAGTCCCCCCCAAGCGCATAGAGTCGCAGATCCCTCCCCAGCTGGCATCCTTCTTGCCCACACATCTCCAACATTCAAGCAGGACCCAAGCCTTAGGGACAGCCAGGCTGGCCCCTGATGTCCTGTGGCTCATGCCCAGGCTCTGAAAACTGGACAGGTCTCACACCACCTTGGAGCCAGCGCCCTGCTCCACACCCCACTGTACTAGAACCCCCCGGGCACTGCACAGAGACGCTCCCCACACACCTGAGCATGTGTCCCTCTCCCTTCCATCTCTGTGGGCACCCAGCCAGACTCTGAGAGCGAAACAAGCAGGCAGACACATGCGCACCTACTCAGAACAGGTGCTCACCCTCACCTATCCCACGGAGGGCCCAGAGTGCCCACAATGCCAGGGGAATTACTCCCACTGGCTTCACATCACAGCTCGAACCCAGGGCCCTGAACCACCTCCGTGCCAGAAGTCCTCAGAACAGGCTGGGGCGTCCTGGGCCTGTTGTGGACTTCACAGACCCCACTGGATAAATTCCAATGGGCCAGGGCAGACACAGCGGCCCGAGAAGCCAACCCTTTATTGAAAGGGGTCCTGAAAGGGAACTAATTGGTAACACCGGGCTGGCGATTCACTGAGACCACACTAGAAGCTTCGAGCACCTGGGGAAGCAGGTAAGATCACAGCATGCCAGTGCCGCAGGACCTTGTAATCAAGTTTCAAGGGCAAGCATGAGGCAAGTGACAATAAGCAAGACTTCTTGGGACCTTCAGTGCTGACATACAATGTGCAGCCCACCCAACAAAGGGCGTAGGGATGAGCACACAGCCACTCTCAAACTTACTTCCCCATGGAACCCTTTGCTCAGAGCCTCAGTGTGGGAGTGGCAATTGTAGGCACCCACTCGGGAAGCCAGAGATAGGGAGCGGGTCTCACCAGGAGAGTAGGGGGAAGAGGGCTGGAGGCCACAGGAAAAGATGCCCCACCCCACCCTTCATTCTTTCCCTCTTCCTCATTCCTGATAAGAATGTTCCCTAAAACCATTTCCCTTAGTTTGGCCAGGGAGCTCTCCATGCGAGCCCAGGAGGCTGGTTAGGAATACCTCCATATAAATCCAAGAGCCTGACAGGGGCTCCCTCGGCTCCATAGACTGTGGAGCTTAGACTGGGAACTCGCACTTGGCATTGCAGCTGCTCATTTGTCCTGGTCTGCTGGACGGCAGCGATTGTTTTGGGCTGTTGAGGGGTCTTCCCCTGAGAACCCAGCAGTGGTGACCACAGGTCGAAGAGTAAAAGCGGCCTCTCCGGTGCTCAGTCTGCAGGCAAGCCAAGTGCTGGCAGCTGTACACCTTTCCAGGTTTTCCACAGCAATCCCAGCTTGGGCTGCCACCACTTCCCTGCTATCCACCCCCTCCCTTCCTGCTCCTGGTTCCCACCTCCACAACTCTATTTTCCCACCCAGACAATCTAAGGCGAAAGCGCTCTGCCAGGACCGGTACGTTCAATTGACCCAGAATGTCTAAGGCAGCTCTCCAAGGGACAGCCTGGCCACCAAGACTGCAGGACATACTGGCTGGCCAAGGATCCGGATGGCGGAGGTTCCTGCAGTGCCAGGGACTGGTGCCTGGAAGCTGAACTCTAAAGGTGGGAATCTGGTTTACCAGCAGGTTCTCAGGAGGCTGAATGTCTACCTCCAGCCTGGGCAAAGCCAAGGGCTCCCTCAGAGCTGCAATCCCCTCGCTTAAAATGTTGGCGTCTGCTCAGGTGCACACACTAGGCGGGTGGACGGCAGGCCTTTCCAAGCACAGCATGAATTCCCGCCTGGGTTGATGACGCGCCTGGGTGAGATCTGGGTGCAGGAAGAAACGATGGCACTACGAGGATTTGGGTGTCTGTGGATGTGGTGAAAAAGAGGGCGGGACCACACAGGTCTTAGGAGCGACATTAGAACCATCCAATCCCTGAGAAGAATGTCAGTGGGCCAGGACGGCCCTAGCCACTCTCACTACAGCCCTCATCTCAACTCCCCTGTCCCCAAAGCAGCACAGAAATTACCCCCTGCCTGAGGCGGCCGCTCTGCTCCTCTTGTCCCGTGTTAAGACCAAGTCGAAATGTCGCCTTACAAGAGGGGCTTTCTCCCTGGGGCCTCTAGTTCTTCAAGATGTGGAAACTTTATTATTTCTATTCTTATTAAGTTCCCCCAAGAAGCTACACCCTGAAAGCCAGGTCTGTGCTTTGTCCGTCTCTCCACTGGCAGCGACTGAGAGACCTCCTAGCATATAGTAGGGGTTTACTTAAAGTTAAATGAACGCACAAGGGGGCTTTGAAAATTTGGGGGAACATTCAAGGATCTGTTCCTTCCATTTTCCACGAGTCCCTGGGAGGCCCCTGTGAGAATGAGCACAGAGGCATCCCCTGGTGGAGCCTCTCATTGAGGCGGCATGAGAAAGAGAGGGTTGCTCTCTCTTACGCACTGGGGCTCCGGCCGGAGGCTCTGCTCCATCCCGCCCCTGATGGCTGCCTCAGAGGTGCCACTCTGTGTCTTCCTGCCAGCAGGGCTGCAAGCCCAGTGGCCATGGTTCTGCTGCACTCCGAACCAAAAGGTCTAGGCGGGATATTGTGGCCATAGGTCCGTACAGGTTGGACACAGCCGTGACCAGGTGAGGTCAAAAGATGTTGCCCCTCTTTCCTACGGCCTCCTAGATGCCATCAACCTTGGGGGCAGGAGGAAGAGTCTGTCCAGAACTGTGACCCGTCCTGCCTAGGAACCTTCTGACTCCCATTGCCGCCTGGGCAGGACGCAAGACACAGGGTCGAGGACAAGGTCCGCCACCCCTGGCAGCCAGAGCAGTTGTGTTTTGAGATCTTAAAACACGCGGAGCTGAGGGTGCAACAAGGCCGGAGAGCCCGAGGGCAGAGGCTCAGCGTAGGATTCACCCAGCACTGCGGCGAAGCCCCACTCCCCGCCACCGAGTCATTCCAACTCCCAACACCCCTACAGGGCAGAGGAGAGCTGCTTCCCAGACGGTCGCTCCTGACAGCGGACAGCCTCATCTGTGGGTCTGCACTGACGACCTCACGGTAAGGAGCCCGGTCAGGAACCCACGTATGCCACCACATGGAACCAGTTGCCCTCAAGTCAGTCCGGAAGCATGGTGTCCGTGAGGGAGTGTACAGCGAGCTCCCCCACAAGGTTGCTGAAGGCTGACTTTTCAGAAGGAGATCCTCAACCTTTCCTCTGAGCAGCCTCCGGGGGATGCAAACTCCCAACCTTGCAACCTTTCAGTGAGTAGCATTTAACCGTTGGCACCACAAGGGGCGTTTTGGCACACAGTAGGCACCCAAACACTGCTTCTAAATAACAAACTACTAACTTGGTGCAAAAACGGAGTTGCTTAGGGGAGCCAGGGCCAGAGGCAGCCTGATGGAAGGCATCATCAACACTCGTCATGCTGGGCACCCACTGGAACTTGTGGACTGCATACTGTGTGTGCATTACGCACTACACATTACGCATTACTCATCTTGTGGGGAGGGGGAGGGCGCTAGCGTGCATAGAAGACCC